GGATCTGCTGTCCTAATGTTCAGCTGAAGTGTTAGAATGGTCTAGCAGCTTAGTGTAGCCATCGGACAGCACTAAGCTTAGCAGGCAATGTATAGTATATAAACAAAAAATACAAATACGTTTTTAACTTATATTAGTTAGAAAATAATTTTTTATGTAGATCTATCCAATAGGATCTGCTTTAGGATACACTTATACTTAGAACATTATCTACCATTAATACACTCATTATTCAAATTATCTGGAGATTTTTCTGTGTGTCCCAAATTCGACAACCCTAGGCAGCATCAGTTTATAATCTGTGATCTTGTGAAGGTTTATCATATAATGAGAAACTTTTCACTCAGTTCTAGGGGATTCCTCCATTCTAAGGCCTTACTCTGAGGACTTGCTGATTGTCACTCAAGCATGACGTATCATATTACTTGTAGGAATTTAATGTTTCTTTTTCTCTGACCGCTAATGAAGTAACAATCCTTTCATTAAAATGACCGTAAAAATAACATATATTTTAATTATTAGAAAGTTACTTAGGATTTTGAAAAGCAGATTTTTTTTAAAAATTAATATTTGGTGAAGTTTGAGTTTGTAAAGTAATTTATGAACCCTTCTTGGTTTTGTTTTTCTTATCTGATAAAACGGGTCTGGAATTTATAGGGGTCAGGACCTGTTAACTACGTTCACACCAGCATCTGTCCCCCAGATAGTGTTCTGCAGTCCATCTTTGATCCCATTAGCCTTGGAATATTTATAACTGTGCCCATTCATCATTCCTTCTTTTAAGATCTGGTGCCTGTGTGAGGAAGAAGGAAAAATACAGCCCCATGCCTTTGCAGAATGCATAGGCTTTTGGTGATTTAAGGCAGGCGCTGTAGTCCTGCATGGAGAACATGAGAAGTTTGCCAAATCCTTGAGGTAATTAGGAATTCCCCGTTTCTGCTTTTGCTACATTTAGTGATGAGAACAAGAGTCTTGAGTCCAAATTTGATGTTTTCATGACCCTAGTTGGTATCCAAAGACAGGGTCTAGAATCTTTATTTTTTTAAACCTTTGTTCAACCTCGGAATTTCTGCGCTGCCGTTCAGGATCAGTGCTATCTAAGGCAGACCACAAAGTGTGTGCTTCTGTCCTGTGAAGCCTGAAGGGTGACGAGCCACAGGTGGCACCGCTGTCCTATTTCTTCTTGACCTCTACTGGTGTCCGAGGTCTGCTGGTTCCTCTCTGGTGGCGGGGGTAGAGTGTAGTCTGTGTACACGATGGTCACTCATGCGTTCACTCTGTAAACATTCTGTTGAACATGTCCCAGTGGCAGACACCGAACTCTGGGTTGGGAACACAGCTGAGAACAACACAGAAGGTCTTGGTGTCGTGGGACACCTTGTCCTAAGAGTGAGTGGCAGCCATAACCCAGAGAAGAACTATTTCCATACAAACATTTCAGAACTGGTGAGTGCTGTAGAGTCAACAGACTAGGGCAGTAGATTGTCTGGCCCAGTTGCTGAGGTACATACGTTGGAAGGTCCTTCTCAACCAGGAGTTTTGTATTGAGACCTGAAGGGTAGGGGAAAGTTAGCCGTGGGAAACTGGCTACCTGGAGCCTCTTTTGCCCATTGTGGAGAAGAGGAGACCAAATGGGAGTGTGGCAATGGGATCCATTTGATTTTTTTTCTTTTGTTGTTGTTCAGAATACCAGGATGTTTGAATCTCACCATGAAAAGGATTTCGGTAACCACCCCCCTCCATTACAACCACACACATGCACTTCAATGGTAGTTCATTTTAGGATATAAACATTGTCCTGTAAGCATAAAAGGGATTTGGTGTTTGAATCAAGCTTACCCTAAAGGAAACATAGAGGACTGACTTGAAGTGTGAAATCGAGGCTCTTGTCCCAGCTCCTGTCATTGAAACAACAGGAGGCAATCCTTGTCTAACTTAGAGCTTTCTCCCACACCTCCCTCGGCTGGCTTCACCTCATGTCCGAACTCCTTGTGTTTGGCTCCTCTATTGCTTGAGACCCTTGTCTCCTGGTGTCACACCCGGAGTGTAAAGACTGAGCAGCTGCGGGTGGGGCTGGACAGGAGACGTGGAAGTGTCAGGCTGCATGTGTGCTTGCTTGGTGGGGGCCAGTGGGAGCTTACGTGTGATCTACCACGCCAGCACCATTTTATGAACGTTCCCCGGTGATCAAAAAGAAGAAATGTTAGAGAGATGGTTCAACAAGCCGAGGAAGGTACTTGCCACCCAGCCTAACAACTTGAGTTTTGGTCCTTGGAACCCCCATGGTAGAAGGAGAGAACTACCTCCCTCAAGCTGGCCTCTGATGAAATGATTCTTCAAGTGCGTGTACACACACACACCATAAATAAATAACTGTAAATTTTAAAAACTAAACTCAAATAAAACGAGGAGGTTAGAGTTCACGTTCTTAGTAGCGTCGAGGAGCTGACTTGTTCCTCCAGGTCAGTGTGATGAAGGGCTTTGCTCATTTCAACACTCCGAACTTGCTGGCTCTGGGTGGGGGGGG